CAAAATAAGACCTGGCACGAGGGTTTGAAAACATAAACCAGGAGATGCGGTCACATAGGTCGCGTTAGGCTCCCTGGATGGGGACCTCGGGATGATCACAACCGGTGGTTAGAGACACTGGATGATATGGCTGAGTGACGTAAACAATAGCGTTTGTGAGTCTTCTCACTTTCGTTTCAACCCTAAACCACTGAAGTTCTCCATTTTCTGTTGGACTTTAGTTTCAACTTTCTTGTCTTCTGCTATTTTTCATCCAACTGAGCAGCATAAAGAAAGCAACCAAAACCGGCGCATGAAGTTGCATGGTTAATAGTTGTACAAACTGACCTTAACAAAAGGAGACCGATTACGTATTTGTTCTCCATTCATATGAACAAGTTTTCAGATTCTATTCACAATAGAGGTGTGGTACGGCTTTGATTAGCTTTTCTTAATTGAGATTATAAAATCCGTACGAATCGCATATTATGCATCCAATGACGAGCAATGAAATAATTGCAGGATTGTTCAAGTGTGACTGGTGTTCGGATTAATTACATCATGAAGATTTAAGGTATCGGCTTTAAACTTCCGTGTCTTTCGTCATCAAACCGAGTCTTTCTCCTACGAAATCTAATAAAACAATGAGTGAAACTAAGTGTGATGTAGGAACAAAGTTTTCAATGGAAAGTGATTTTAAAACATTAGTTCCGGGTTTGCATTAAGATTTTTTTTGGCTTTCAAATAACATCACTGGGTAACATCAGGATGTCTATCCATAACACTGCATCAGACTGCCATATTTAGCGTGCAACGGCACGTAAAACTAGATTACCGGAACAACAAAGCGGTTTTTATCAATCGAAGTAGTAAACACTTCTGATATACGCAATGTTATTAACAAAAAATTTGCCTTAGCATATGAATCTTCCGTAAGTAGCCTCGTGTATATAGTTTAAAACACGGATTAATTTGGGATATTAATCTGCTAAATCAAAGTATTCTCAGTTGTGTTTGTTTGGTGATAGAACCAATTATCTATCAACCAGCATAATATTCCAGTCGCCACGTGATCACGTGGTTAAGACGCCACAGCTCTGCACCTCTACCGCCAATTTCGATTGAAGATATCAGACCCGGCGATATCATATGATGGGGTCCGGAAGGAAAGTGCAAACATTTTTCGATTGGTAGCAGAAGAAAATCAGGATTGGTTCAGGCCATGATACGTAGTTGAAACGCTGCTTATGGGAAATTCGATTAATGAATGAGAATGGTTGAGTAAAGGCGAGACAAGTGACAGGTGTGAATCCCAATACTATTCCTTCAAAAAATGGTTTGGAGTTAAGAACGGCATTATCGTAGCGGGGCCTTTGAATTTCGGGCGTGCTTTTCAAAATTGGACAGTGGATACTATTGACCGTACACTGTTACATCAACTCAACAAATTTTCAAGGTCAAATGCTGACCTACAACTCCTACTTTATGAAATATTTCTGTGTTTCCGCGAATGACGTTGGAATTTCAGCGTTTTCTCATTCTGTGGAGTCGTAATAAACGGTTGAGAAATAAACGTCGAGGTCGCCATAAAAAGGATCGCGCTGGCTGGCAGGTTGCTTTCCGGCGAAGTTCTATTAACAGGATGACCATTCCGTCCATTAGTTCGAGTAACATTCACTCACTTGTGGGAAAAATCGATGACGTCCAGAATCTGGCGCAACAGAAACAATGCAAAAGTGTGGGAATCATCTTACTCCAGGAGGACTGGTTACACCCAGATATTGAGGATGATGTGGACGGATCGGACGGCTTTGATATTGTCGGGGACGATCGGATTGTGAAATTTCGCAACAGAGGTGGCGGAGTGGTCACTTTTTTCCTAAATCGAAGTTGGTGTAAGAACACTCGTTTGTTTTTTCCTACTCAATAAGTAAAATTAATTGTACTTTTGTTTGCTGCCAGCCCCGCTTTCTCAGCAGATCGCGCTTCAGTTATTTTGTGAATATTTATATTGCCCTTGATACACTCGCCCTCCGATTTAAGACGATTTGCTGATACTGCAGTAACACAGTTCACCAGTCGTGTTGACCAGTCCTTGTGTACTACCGCTAGTGACTTTAATCGTTTGATACCTCCTTTCTAACCACTCTAGGCTTAGAGAACCTTGTCAATTTTCCAACCCGTACCAATGCCTTTCTTGATGGCATTTATGTAAATAGTCTCAATATGTTTCACGTTTTTAAACGAGCCTAAATTAGCACTTCTGACCACTGTACCATTCTCTTTTACCCCAAAATATATATTTAAAACTAACCTTTTGCCTTTATACACGGCCCACCTCTCGTACGCTACGGAAAAGAAATTGTTCTCCTGAGAACTTGTCCCGATTTTGGGACTTAGGTTTTTCTACTGACTTTTCTGTGTTCTTCCATAATCAGTTGTCTTCTTGTGAATATCCTACCGATTATCTTAATTTCTGCTATGCCTAATGCTGCTCTGTTGAAACTATTGATATTCGTACCGATAGGTTTTCCTCACCCCTTCTTAGGCGCCCTCGTCGTGCTAAAGAGAGGGCACATATGGCCGGCAGGCGTAACAATGTCAAAGAGATCTCTGCTCTGATTAGAGTAGAAGTAAGACGTCTGAACGGAATTTACGTGGAGACTGTTTTGGACAATAAAATCATTCGTGAGATTTGGACTACCCTGCGGAAACTCTGTGGCTCACGCATCAGTTCTTGTCCCAACGTTGAGGTACTTAACCGTCAATTTGCTTCTGTACCTGCATCNNNTTTCCTACCCATGATGCAATAAACCCTGTTCCTTCGGAAGAGGTTCTCCAAGTTTTGAGGAGACTCATGATCAATAAAGCTCATGGTCAGAATAGATTAGCACCTCATTTGTTGAAAGCCTGCGCCGACTAGCTTGCGAACCCATTGCCGAATTGTTCAGTACTCGTTTGCCATCTGAAATGATCCCCGATTGTTGGAGGTCAGCCTGGATCAGACCAATCCCAAAGAAAGAATCGGCAAAGTACCGTCCTATTGCCTGCACAGCTGTGTTGCTGAAGGCTTTTGAAAATGTTTTGCTGCACCGCATGATACCCCAGTGTAAATCCCACATTCCTTTACAATTTGCTTATAAACCCCATTTATCCACAATTGACGCAGTTGCTCATATTGCTCATTCTGTTGCTTCCGTCTTAGACAATGGCGCTGGTACCACTCGTTTAACTTTTCTTGATTACGCAAACGCTTTTGGTTCTCTCGACCGAAGACTGCTGATTGAACGTCTATCTGAGTGTGGTCTAAATCTTGAAGTCTTGAATGTACCAATCGACTACTTCTCCCGTAGGACCCAGTTTACTTCACTCAATGGTGCACAGTCTTCTATTTATATTGAAGCCGGTGTTTTTCGAGGTGCCATTTTGTCCTTTTTCTTGTTTATATGTGTATAGATATACATAAAACATCTGCCCATTTTCACCAACTTCATTGCTTGTAAGTATGCTGATGATATTGTGATTGCTTGCCCAGGCCCTATTTCAGACAATTTTCGACAGGAAAGTCTTAATGAACTTCACGATTAGTCTGTGACCCGATCCCTTGAACTTAACGTCCGTAAGTGCATCGAAGATCCACTTAGTCATAAAACCGGTCCCCGTTATTTTTCATTAGTTGATAATCTCCTTGATCTTAGAGTTAACAATCAAAGCATTCCCAAATCTGCATCTGTTAAATACCTTGGTGTCACCTTACCCATAACCTGTCCCGGTCTGTTCATATCATCAACGTTTTCACAAAAGTTCGAAAACTGTCCTTCTATGCTTACAGGTTCAGGAAACTGGCCGTACCGCATAATCTTATTATTGAATTTATGATTGCCTGCATTCTTCCACACTGGCTATACTGTTCCCCGATTTTTATCCCTGGACTGAAAGAAAAAAAGACTTCTTTATTTTCGAGATCCCTTGAACTTTTGACCCACCACAGTGGAGTTGATAGAGTTGTTTTAGTTGATTTCTTTGTTTTCAAGCATCTTGACGCTTGTGATACATTCATTGACAGGATAACACGTGATCAAGGATACTGTCTGCACCAAGATATCGCGAAAGCCCTGTCAAATCCCCGAAAACGCTCGAAGTATCAACGGCTTCCTGCGCAGACCTCCACATATCGAAACAGTGTCATTCCATATCTAACTCGTTAAAAAGTAAATCGTCAGAATATTCTCACCCAACTCAGAGAAAAACTCTTGCCCTAATTTTTCTCTCATTTATTAGAGTGTAGAATTTCTTGTCTTTTTTGTTTGCAGTTGTTTTACCTATCCACTGTAAAAATCGTAAACTGCTGAAAATTCATCTTTTGGGTGCATAAAGCTTTTTTTGACTTGATTTAACAACCAAGCTTTGGAGCCAATCGACATGTCTCATACTATTCGTGGTCAGCTAGATGAGTACGTATTGTGATAGATTTAGAGTTCCGCCACTTTAGAGGTCAATGCAAGTGATCACATGCAAGGCACTTAATGGCAGTGGTTTGTTTGAAAATCAAAAAATAATACACATATTGGGCTTCTTGTCTTACCCTTTCTGGGCGTTTTTCAATTATCATTACAATAAGAAAAAGTTGACTGACTCAATAGTAAAAAGCACCAACTTTTTCAACTAAAAGAGAGGATAATGGATTCCAGTAATAAGTAGAGACCTTAAATAGCCCCAAGTTCTGCAAAAAATGGCGAGAGGAGAATTCCGAGTGGATTGCGTTAATTGAAATATGTACTAGGTAAGTTTTGCCTCGATGAGGGTCGGGCTGGTGAGGCTTGGAGAGCAATCACACATGAAGATATAGAAACCATGATTTCAGAGCTCCCACAACTATTATCCGATACCGCCTACGGTACACCTTGGCTTCGAATCGATGAACGATGGAACGTACTAGACGAATAGGCTGGGTAAACTAAATAAGAATTTTAGCCCTAATTAAATCGACACGAGCTTTCGATGAACTCCAGTAATGGCACACGCCATCGTTACCTTCTGGATCGAACTTTGGTCATATAAAGACTCGAATTGTAAATGTACAGGCAAATAACTTAAATGACGAATTTGTTGTGTAAATTAGGCGTGGGTTGAGAAGCTAAAAAGCACTGGTTTGCTGTTCAGTCCTGGTTAAGCCTCGTCAGCAGTGCAAATCAGTCGACCCAATTAAGAAGTGACCACGGAACCTCACAGGTGGAACACATCCATATTATCCACTCATTTGCGCGACGAATTCATCACATGACCAAATCAAATCCTCCATTTCTCTCGTACAAAATAACTTTTGTCATCTGGAGACATTGCATCCAGACCAAAAGCTATTTTCTACTTATTCGTCACAAACCCTATTTCAGCAAACGTTTGTGAGAGAATAGTATCATTTCAACTCTCATATCAGTGCATTTAAAGTACAGCCACCCGGAAAAAACGAGCAAACCGTTTTCTCCCGATTAGTTAATGGTTCAATAGAGGCTGTGTTGAACTTCTAGGTAACTTGACATTTAAGAAGATTGCGTGCACATAAAACAGTGGATTGTTTTTAATCCTTTGGATTCCACAGCTTTGCACTTATATCGCAGGTTAATTAAGAGTCCATTTTACGTATTCTAATTATTCAGGATGCAGGATTGCTTTATTTACAATTCCTCACATCACAAGCATATAATTCACGATGTTGGTGAACGATGTCAAAATACAATTTGATGAGTTGTTGGAGTACATCCTTTTTTAGTGACAATGTGCTTTGTGTACTAGAAGCTTTATAATAATTGATAAACAGTTCGCTGGTGCGATACACGGTTTTTTCATTCAAATGCAAAAATCTTGAACATAACAGGAAATGACTTGGTTTTCCATTGATTCGGTATGGTATATATTGAGAATATAAAAACAGGTATGCGTAACGGAGGAACTATGACACTAAGTGCAACGTTAGAGATAATACTTTTTCGCAAGATAGTTGATTTTTATAAGAAGGAATGTATGCTGTCATGATATACAACGTTTGTTGTATAACAGTGGGGTAGTTTTATTTATCGTTGATGTCATCTTTTTGACAGACGCTGTTTATTATTATTATTATTATTTGTATTTTTTTGTATTTGAATTCAAGGTAAATTGAAACAAGCTAAGGTTTGAAAGGATCCAATACAGAGTGTTCATTTTCAGGGAAGATCTTACCATTCAAATATTTTAACTGGCTTTAAAACATCAATCTGTACCGCTCTTTTGGGTATTTCAACATTTAAACTTCCAAGCACGGTTATGAGCTAGCGTATGATCATTAGGGTCAGATATAGCGTAAGAATAGAAACATTCAGACTTAGATAATACCGCCGGGTTATCCCCTCGTATTCTAAAGGAGAAATTGGTTGGTCCACTGCGGTATGGGTGTTAAAAAGTATGGGCTGTTTGAACGCACCATTCAGAAAGCCTAATGACGCAAAAACGGAGTCCAAAGAGTAAAACGTTGAGGGTCGACACATGACGGTGTTCCAATGAAGTACTGCGTTCATGAATTGAAACCGCTGTTGAATAACATCTTATGAAATTTTGATAAGCTTGCTTCAGGACATTTGAAAACCGTTGAAATAATACGTGAAATGTGTTTCATGGTTCAGTTACCGTCAGTTAATAAATGAAACACGGTTTGAACGAGGCTTTGCAAGGCAAGTCGTTTGTAACTGGCCGAATGAAAACGATAATTGTATACGTAAAAGTTTGCAATTTTCATGACAGTTTAGTTTAGTTTGTATATGACCCACAAACAACAAAAAATAACATGTGTATGACTACTTACTTCAACAGGAGATAAGTGGTAGTCCTACCCCAAACAATCCCGTCGGGTAATTAACATGCAAAATATTTTCAAAATCAAACCTCCGCGTCAGTGGTCTCAGCCCAGATTAATTGAAGCCTCCGTGTAATAAGCGTAAAAATAGTTGATTCGCGTTCGTTTGGGATTCAGTGCTCAGTGTGCAAAGTTGCGAGGTCAAAACAATGCAAGCAATTGGTAAACAGATATGAATTTTTCTAATACGTACAGGTCGTAGGTAAAATACGTTCAAGCATAACACAACCAAAGAAATAGGTATTTTAGCGTCGAGTGCCTTCAGACTATTTATAAGTGAATCGTTTTACATACACAAGTGAACGCAACGGAAAGGTCCAAGTGTTGCAAATATTGTCCATAGCAAGAGACAAAATCAATCAACGGTCAGATCGAAGACTTAACCGAATTCGTTGGGTTATCGGAACCAATTCATAAGAAATCGAAAGGTCAATGTGTACGTGACTCAAGGAGAACGTAAGTGAACACAGACCAGCAGATACACTGTGATTGTTCGGAGTCGGCATTCCTTAACACTTTCTCGAATGACGCGATCAACCAACTTTGGTATGGTCATTCAGTTCGAGGGATTTCACATTGCAATGTGACACTGGTCTGTTCTAAGGCCGACTGGGATCAACATTGTAGGAAAAGCAATTTTACAGTTCGTTTTCACAAAGTGCTCTTGATGTCAACTGGCTTGCGAGATCAAGAAAAGTAACACATTTGCCGATATATGTTATCCAACTGATTTCATGTGAGTATAAAATGTTAGAAAATAACAAGAGCAAGGTGGAGAAAAAAAGTATTTATTACACACAGGATGAAGTTAACATAGAGTTAGCACAGAAGCATTAGAGGTGTGCTATGCTTTTCCGTATACTTTGATGGCTAAGACTCACACCTTTAGAGAACATACCTCAGAAATGTCAGCTTCGTTATGAATCCCCTATGAGAAAACCCATTGTCTTTGTTCAATTTAGGCAATAAATTACACGAGCACCCATCAATTTAGTGCTAGTACAAAAATGGATCGGAGTGCTTTTACTAAGTTCTATTTGTCTTTTTACACATTTGACAAATCTGCCGATCCGAATTAGGCTCAATAAATGCACACTTCTGAGGAGACCCAATAGAGTTTAGGAAGGCTGTGAAGTGCTATTCAACTACTCAGTGAGGTATCCTTTGCGTTCATTTGTCTCCCAATCTACTGATTGTTGCTGATTGAACAAAAGTGTACGGAAGAAAAGAAGTAAGATAAATTCAGTGGGCCATGGTTTCCAATCCAGTTATTACAATGAATCCCGTAGTTGAAATACCAATTTAAAAATTACCTCTACCTGAATATTATCATTTTTCTTCTACGTTTCATTAACAAAAATGTTCTCTCAACTTTTCAAACGTGTTTGTAATCACAAAAAGAGAAAAAGATGATATCATTTGATTAGTCTCTATACAATAAATGAACGTTAACTCAAGAGATAGCTTATTTTGTCTGTATATTTAAGTCATTTGGATGTTACAACAAGAAACACTCACTTACTTTTAGAAATTAGATCATAAAGCAATGCATTAAACTATAAAACTGTGGTAGTTCTTGAAGCATATACATAGTTGTATGCAAAATTAAAAAAATATTGCCGTCGAAAGTGTGGTTGATCCTAGGAGAAAATCAAGCTGTTCGAAAGCGAGGATTTTCTATTATATTTTCACGTAAACGATAACGATTTATCCCTTTGATTTTGATCTAATTTATAAAGAGAAGATTGTTCACTTACTTTTAATATGCGTTCTACGGCACTTGAATCGTTATTTCTCTTTTCCTTTGGTTTAAAAAATGCTATGCATTAATAACAGGCCATGGACTTGAGTCCCGAGCAGTGATCATGCTGGCTTTTGTACTGCGGGTATCATGGAACGGATAATACTGCAGCGTCCGACTTCTCAGACTATCTTGTTTTTGATAAAACAGCTAGACTGTTTTAAGTTTTGATCAGTCTTGGTTAGCGTTCCAAGCGCAAGCAATTAATGGCTGAATTACAACCACAGTGTATGCCAGAAGAGAATATTACTACACCTACATGAAGAGATGATTTTTCATCAATTCATTCACACGTTTTGCCCCTGTTTATTCAATAACTAAGCTTATGTTACGGAGAACGGGGATTCACGAATATTCCACCCTTTCCATTATTATCCAATTTTGCAATAGCTTGCTCCATAACCCAAGCTGTTCACTGTTAATTTACGCAAAGTTTCGGTGCAATAAATGTCAAACAATATGCTATTCGTTTGTTAAACAAACGGCATGTGCAGAATGTGATTAACTACCCAGTTGCACAGTGCAAAATTCAGTTTAACCTATTCTTTCAGCAAATGATGCAATGAACTTTGAACTTTGGGGAAGCTCCGTAAAACATAAACCATTGGGCAGTGTGTTCATGCATTTAGATACGATTTAAAAGTTACGTGTACCCTGACGGTCAGTTGACTGTTAGGGACAAAAATAAAACCATGCTTCATATGGGAATCGTTTGAGCTGTGGCATCTCCTGTCACCCTCATGTTCTTTTTTTGAGGATACCCCTATAAGTTCTTTGCCGCAAAGCAGCAGTTATACGGAGCGTTAGAGTAAGAGACCTGATATCGAGATTTAAAGACTTCAGAATGCAATCTACGGAAACTCATGGATTTCGTTACAGAATGATTGTTTGGTTAACCNCCCAACCCCGCCACATTCTTACACTTCATTGGTGATCCGCTTTGAGTGATGAATAAGATTAAGTAAATTAATACCCAATTACCCACATATAACAACCTCATTTGCTTATATTTGACCCATTGCATGATGACGCACCCGGTAGCGTAAAACTTCGTTGGTCGGAATATTTATATTGCTTACGAGCTTGGGTCATCGACTGACCACCTTGGGTTATTTACAGCTATTACCTGTGTAAATAAATGTTACAAAACAAGAATGGATATCGAGTGACGTGCGAAACAGGTTGCATCCCCAGCAAACTAGAATTATAAAGAAAAATTGCGGAAATTTTCTTTGGTAAGCTCATAACAATGGGGTA